GCTGAATTGTCTGTCTTGTTGGTATTTATTGGTACCTGAGATACATCACACCGATGGCTTCCTGCAAATGAAATTGCTTTCCTTCAGGGAAGTTCAAAAACAACAAAGCCTCTTGACCTGGTGGATGCCTGGTTTTGTGCTTCTCTGGAACTTCTTTCTTTTGGACCAAGCAAACAGAATTTGTTCATTCTCTGTACGTGAGCCATATTTTCTAAGCTTGTCACCATTCTTGTTTAGACCATGATTTGCAGAAATCATTTGAAGTACATGACACCAATAATTGAAAACACAATGGCAACAAGGGCCAAAGACAGACTCTTTCCTGTGTAGAACAACAGTGTAGAGTGGCACATTCTTGTTTTGCAATGACATTATGGTAACTCATGATGAGTTTCTAGCTCCATTATAGCCCAGAGCTCCACCTCTGCCATACTGCTGGTAGTCATATCTACCAGTAGCTCCTGCTGTTACCTAATCAGTTATTCTTTCTTTTTATCAGTGCCTTTGATTTCTCCTTCCTGAATGCAGCCAATTGCACTGGCCTGTTCTAAATTTTCCTTGAATTTCATTAAGGCATAGACAGCCCTCCAAACTGCTTCTAGTTTTGTCCCATTTTCTGAACCCTTAATGAAAGGCTCCTCTGCTCTCTTCCCTGTGAGAACACAAAACCATTCTCCTGCCACTGAGTATGAGCCATTTGGATGGTAGTGCAGGGGTGTGGGACCAACCACAACCTGTGATAAGCAGGTTATGGTAGTTCAAGCAGAGATATGGTAATCAGGAGTTCCTATGGTTTCATTTCTATTGGTCATTGTCAGCTTACTCCTCCGTTTCTGAAAATGAGTATTCTCGCAGGTAGTGTTAATTAGCTGCTACTAGCAAAGCATGAAAAATACTTTTCCACACCCTGCTTCTGATCTGTCCCATCAATGTGGGCTTAATATTTCCCCTTACCATGCTCTCCAGAAAGATTTAACATACTCATAGTATGGACATGGAAGATACAAGTTAGAAATGAGGAGTGTGAAACCTGGGTGGCAGGGAGGTTAGAGGGGAGATTACTGGTGACCATACCATTCCTGCACAGAGGAGTACTGCTGGAAACCTGTGTGTTAGCTGTGCTTCCAAGGCTTATGTCTGTGGCATCCAGCTTCCACCACTTGCACAACTGGAAATGGCCATGGGTATTTCTGAGGCTTACTCTGATCCATACCAGCTGCCTGTCAACTCTCTGTAAAGTAATCACCAGGGAGTGATACAGTCACATCCCCTGCCTCAATGACTCATAAGGAGGTACCAAAAGCTGTGTTATATTTTACCTTCTTCTGCCTTCTCTTTGCCTCTGCAGTGGTAGGAGGCAGTTTCAGTCAGCCACACCATCACATACACTAGATCTTTAATGGAGATGAGTTATCATGAACACGGGGTTCCTTGCACAAGCCTTTGCACTGAAGCTCTCAGATGCCCCCATGAGAAGCCTGGTAAAAAGGCTTGGATGTGCTGGCAGGCGGGGGGCCATGTGTTTGCATCCCACACTATTTCTGATGCTGATCAAGAGCAAACAGATGGCATTTTGTTGTGTGAAACCCATCTTGAGAAATGCAAGCAGCTAATAGTAAACAGTACAGCTTGCTTGCTTTTTCTTGGCCTGGACAAGGGGCGAGGAGGGGGAATAGGGGCTGTTTCTGAGGATGCTGGAAAAGACAAGGGAAGCCCTAGCGTCACAATGTGACACCATGTAGAATGGGCTCCTGTTTGTGAGCAGTTATATAGCTCATAGTCTTTGTGCTTTTAGGGGCTCTGTGGCTTGAGTTTGCATCCCCTACTCTCTCCTTCCACCCATGTGATTGATATTTCGAGTGACTCATCACTTGCACTGACTCTTTATGTTTTCCTTTTCTCTCACAGGCCAGGGAAGGAGAAGTAGCCATTATAGACAAGGTTCTGGATAATCCAGCTTTGACATCTAGAGACTTTCAAGAATGGAAACAAATGTACCTTGATCTCTTCATGGACATCTATCAAAGCAGTACCCCGAGGGACTCTGTTAATGGCTCGCCTGAGGTTGATGCCCTTATAGCCTCCTTAGCGCACACTCACTCTTACATAGAAACCCATGTATAAAGGTCTCTCCTTTCGTCCATTTGCTACACTCCAGCCCTTTACTGAAGTGCATAAAGTAGTTTTTATATCCATATGTGAGAGCTCTAGTAAATTATATTTTATTGTTACTCAGCTGTGTGAAGTAAACCTTCAGTGGTCAACAATACCACTTCTTTAATGAAGATTGGTATATTTTATATGCTACCAATGGTCCGCTTGTGTTTACTTTCTGTGAATTAACAAACATTATCTTTAACTATTAAAGAAAAGGATTTAAAAGCATTTTTGGAAGACTGTGGCCTTCATGCAGGAAGTTCCACACACTAAAGCTTTTGTTATTGGTCATTTTACAATGATATTTTATATTATATAGTTCCAGTATTGCATTGCATTTTTGGAGTGCAGGTACTATTTTGGTGATGGGAGAAAACCAATTTTTATATTTAATGAGAAACTCTAGGAGTTTTCTTAAATAACAGGGGAAAAGTGTAATGCAGTGTATATGTTTCAGTTTTGTCAAGCACACAAAAGGGTGAAAATCAGCAGACAGAAAAGGACTAATGTGAATTTAAGTATCAAAAGGTTAGGTCTTATTTCCTTGTGCTTTTTTAAAGCCTGTTGCTAAGGTTTACCATCAGTGCAAAGGGATGCTGGTTTGTATTATAATTAAGACAAAATTGTGTTGTCTCTTAATGACATTAGTTTGATTTAAAAAAAAATCAGTGATGGTACTGTGATTGATGATGCTTTTGCACTGAAGGTATCAGTATAATGTACAGATTTTGCAAAAGGGAAAATGTAGACTTTGAACATCCTTGGTAGCAGCGTTTCTTTTGCCCAGAAAAGCAACAGTGGAAAAGGTTCCCAATGAAATGCTTCAAATCTGAGATGCTTTGGAGATTCTCACAATAGAAAAGAAGTGAACAGGATTTTTTAAGTAGTCTCCTATGTGTTTTCTGAGCTGCAAAATTTGGCTGTATTGTATGCAGGGAAGATGTATGATGAGAGCAGAGCTGAGTACAGAACCTGAAAAATAACTGAGGGGTAAAAAAGCCTCTGGTTTGCTTTTGAAGGGGAAGGGATGTGTCTGGGTTCTGCTGAGTTCACAAGCCAATTAAAATATTTTAAACTTCCATGAGATTTGAGATCTGCTGGAGACAACCCAGTGAATATGAGTGGAAATAGCTCCTTAACATTAGGCACATGCCTGGAATAAAAGTAGGAGGGAACTCTTAAGTCACATATTTACTTTTTATGGGCTTGTTTTTGAAAAGTCATCAGAGCATGACAAAATATTTCTGCTGCTCTTCAATATTTTGCTGCATAAGCTAGGACTCATGACATGATCTAATAATGCTCATGTGAAAAGGAAAAGCCTCCTTTATACTTTTTACAGCGAGTTGTACTCTTAACCAGCTTTAGACTATTGCTTGTACAGCTCAGTGAATGTATGTCAAACTTTATGAGCTCTGATATTTCCTGGCAGTTATATCCATGAAGGGATGAAGAAAAGAATGGACAGATTTGTCTTCTCTCTCCTTCTTTCTTTCTTTCTTTTATTCCTCTCTTTCTCTCCTCTTTTTCTCACTTTCTCCCCTTTTCTCTTTTTCTTCCTTTACTCTTTCTCCTCCTTTCTCTTTTCCTATCTTGTTATTGCATTTGGATTGCAAATGTTCTGCAGATTTTGCACAACGGTACAGAAGAGTGGCCTTTCTGTAGCCCATTTTCAGTAATCCTATATTCAAGTCAATATGGCTGACAAATCATGTATTAACGTTTGTATAGAATTCTGGATCCAGTGTAAGATTTGTACTATTAGAAGAATATTGTTTGTATAAACTGGACATTTATTTACTGCATGGGTACTGACTTGTATATTAAATTTGTGAGGTTTTTGTAAATTTCTCTTAAAAAATGCTTGACTTGAAATGGATTGTGCTATTGTTCCAAGCATTTAGATCCTCTTGCTATTGTTTTACTGGACCAAAAGTAAATATATTCATATGAAAAACTCTTTATATCTGATGGATGTATATGCACATTGTGTAGTTGATTCCTTGTCAAAACCAAGGCAGTTCAGAAGACTTAGATCTGTTGCTATGCAACAGCCATTCTGCCTGCACTTTACATTAGTAAAGTTAGCTTCATTGCTTTAAAGGTGAAAATTAAACATTACAGTTTTCTAAGCTAGTCTAGTGACAAAGAACATGTGTCCTCTCCATTGTGCTGCCTTCTTTTAAGAGTATTAAATGTTCTTCTATATATATATTTTTATTGTATTAACTCTCAGCCTAGAAAGGGAACACTGTAAGATGAAGTACAATAAATTTAGCTTTTAAATGAACATTTATGACTCAGTATTCAATCTACTCCATGCAAGAGTTGTTCTGTGGCATCTGACCATTTTACCTGCATTTCACAGCTCCATGTACCTTTATGTACCTCTGTAAAACGAGTTCAAACTCTGCTAGCGTGGCCAAAAAGGACTATCGCTGATTCATATGTAGGCAGACACTGAATAAAGACTTCTGAAAACCTTTGGTTACCTCCCTGCCCTTTGTACTGTTTGATGAAAGTAAACCTTTTTTGACTGCAGGATTCTCTCATGTACCAGTTCAACAGCAATGAACAATTTTACCATTACGAGCAGGTGTGATATAACACCGTATGCTACCCAGGTAAAGTGTCAAGGCATTAGTTACAGTTACTTCTTAGAGTCTGATAGTAAGTATACTTATTCAGCTCTGGCCATCTAAACTAATGTAGGGTTTGGATGCAAACAAAATGTACAGTACCAGTACAGTCCTTCTTTAAAATGACACAAAACAAGCATCTGGAAAGCATTCTACAACAAAGGCCACTGAAAGAGAAATGGCTTATATCAAGCAAACACTTAAGGCTGTAACTGTGTCCACATAGCAAAACATCCATGCTGTCTAGTGATTTTCTGCTGGTTAGGTAAGACATTCTTGCCTAGTATGTAGCATATCAAATAATGCCTTTTCTTTGGCTATGAATTCTTTTAGGCATCAATTTTCTAGTCTTTATACAGCTCACTTTCATTTTGCTTAGCCATAGCATAAAAACTCAATAGCACTTACCAGCTGGGAAAATAACCTCTGATAAAGAAAACAGAAAAGTTGGATTATATTTTTTAATATTTTAAAAATATGACTTGCAACACCTACTAATTTCTATCTAGGTATTACTCTTCAAAAGTCAAGGATTATGATTCTCACTGATCTCCTCTAAATATGCTGCTTGCTACATCCTTGTTCAGTGAGATCAGCCTCTGGCTCTATAAATCCTAGCAGTGTTTTTTCTGTGCTGGAGCCAGGTTTTTTGGCGTGTTTCCACCGAGTATTTGGCTTATCCAAGCAAAACTTCCACTTTCTCCTATTCGGTGCCACTGCAGTTTTCTTCTCCAGGACCGCCCCGCTTACTCAGTCTCTCGGGATAGATGTTCCTCCGTGTGTGAGCTCAGCAGTTGGGCAGCTTCTTGTGCTGGCTGTCACTGTCCTGCTCGTCAGCCGTCTCAGAGAGCTGGAGCACGGCGCACTGCAGCCCACACCAAGGCAGAGGGGCTTTGCAGATCTCCTCCCAGCCATCGTTGTCAATGTCATAGCCAACCACGTCTTGCGTGGAGACTTCCAGCGAGTTTTGCCATTTCTTTCCCCCAATAAGAAGAGCCGTTTCCTCTACCACTGCCAGGCCATAGGAAAATCGATCGTAGACCAGTGGTCTTAACCGGGTCCATTGGTTTTGGTCAGGGTCATACCTTTCTATTTCAGAGAATGGTTCATATAATCCTAAGAAGGTGAATATGGATTCCCTGATTGTTGCCATCTGATGCCCAAATCGAGCAATGCTCATTGGGGCTCGTTTCATCCAGTGCCCTTCAAGTGAGCTCAGAGAATATACATCATTGCTTGTGCTGGCCGGGGCTGAGTACTTGCCCCCAGAGATGTATATAGTGTTCTTGCAAACAGCACTGGCATGGCCATGGATCTTGCATGGCAATTCCCTGGCCTTTGTCCATCTGTCCCTGCTGATATCATAGACTTCCACAGATGAATGCAGAGACCCGTCCTCACCCCTTCCACCAATGGCAAAGATATTCTTGCCTAGGACACAACAAGAAAACTGACATCTCTTTTCCAGCATGCCTGTGATTTGGGTCCATGTGTTAAATCTTGGATCATAACGATGGACTTTGTTCGTAACCAATAAGATCTTTTCAGTTTTAGCATCACCCAGGGAACCACTTTCTATTTCCCCACCCAAGACATAGAGGAAGTTCCCCACCACGCACACACTGTGGTTCTGCACCCTGTCCTGCAGCTGTGTGAGGGTTCGCCACTTGTGATTGTAAACATCGAAGGCCACCACATCGGTGACAAGCCCCTCACTTGCTGTCCCTCCCCCCAGCAGAATAATCCGAGTTTTCTGGTTCCTCAATGCGGTGGACTTATCCTGCAGGACAGGCTGTTTGAATACAGATGTGTGATAATTTATTGCTTTAATGATCAAGCACTTAATACCTGCTGAGAGGGACACTTCTGACTGTGTGTAGGTTTTTCTCAGCTCTTCCACGGGGATGAGACCGTATCTTATGTGCTCTAAAAGGCTGCTTGCATGATCCAGCCTGGATTTATCCTGCTTCAGCCACAGCAGCACAAGATTCAACAGGCGGCTTTCTTTCACCATGGGGAGATCTGGTGATTGAATCACTGCTAGCAAAGACTTGAAGTTCAG